TATACAAATACATGTGGTTTCTACATTCCCTCATGTTTGGCTTCGTCCTTTTACCTTGAACAATTTATGACATGACTGTTTCATTCATGGGCCGTGAACAAATCATTGAAATCTATATTTTATTGATACAGACTGCCAGTATTTTTCCAATCATTTGTTTTTAAATATATTCTTTCATCATAAATTCCTACTTATTTAGGAATTGATAAGTAATTGTATGTTTCTAAAGTAGTTTGTTAAACTTTAAAAACCTGTTGTTACGATAAACGACCTCTTCTATTTATTCATTAACTAATTAAAGTGAAGTTGAAGTCAACAAAATTAACATTACAAGGTAATATAATATTTATATCAAATCAAATTCAGAACGGTCCCACACTTTGAATGCTCTATTTGGTGTAATTTTTTACATTGATGTGAGGCAAAAACGCACGACTTATGAATTTGAATGTCTCTTTTGTATCTATCGCCTCTCTTTTATGATGAGTTTTAGTTTACACATCTATTTTTACAAACGGAAGTGAACCAATTTTTTGCAGCAGTCCCTAAAGTGTTGTTGTTATAAGACTTTCTACATCTATCTTTTTTGTTGACTAGGGTATGAAGTTTTTCAATAATTCATTCACATACGTTTTTATGATTCCTTTACCAATACAGACAGCAAACATGTGTTGATCACAATCTAAAAATAAGGAGATGTGATATGATTGCCAATGAGACACTATCCACCAAAGTTCAAATGAAGTGGATGTAAGGCAGCTGTTTTGCCTTCAACAATGACAAAAACAATACCTTATAGTCGGCCATAAAAACGCGACATGATGTAACAATTCAAATGAGAAAGACAACGGCCTAATTTATAACAAAACAAATAGATATTAATTTCTGTGTCATTTGGTCTCTTGGGGAGAGTTGTCTCATTGGTAATCATACCACATGTTTTTTTTTTATATGACAAAAATGAAACGACAACCATTGAACCACTCCTGACTTGGGATAGACATAAAAAGGGGTTTAATATGTGTTTGGGTGTTCAATCTCTTAACCTAGGACAGAGGTGTTACAACACAACAATAGAAAAAGATGTAAAAATCAGTTGCAATTGGCTCAACTCAAAACATCGGTACGATTCATTAAAACAACTATCTCGTCCTATGCCAAAATATAAGTAAACAGTATCAACAGGATGTAGGATCATGAGTTGTCATAACTGTACATATATAGCGAAATATATTCAATTATGTTTTAACGTTTTTCAAAAACAAAATTAATGTTAATACTTGCAGAAACAATATTTAAACATTTTCCAACTTTGATAAATTGATAACCTTTAGGAATAAATTTATTCAAAGGACCAATTATTATACTTTGATTGTATCAAAATTTACGGGCTTTCTAAACAACTTCGCCGTAAAAGTTGTGATATCCTGTTTTTCATGAGACATCTACAGGTACAGCAATGCATCCTAACGAAATCTTTGTATCTAAGAAAATTAATAAAAAAAGAAATCCCTGACTTAATAATTTATCAGTAATACATAGATTACGTTTATTGAAATCCAAAACGTCACTACAGACACGGGCATAACAAACGAGTTGGGATATATAAACAACGTAAGATGATGACAAAGGGACATAACCGTTCAACAAAGGAAAATTACCAATCAGGAACGAAAAATCGTCTCTTTTGAAGTAAACTTTTGTATAGAGTTTCCCGTGTGCAACTGAACTATTTAAATCTAGAGAGGACAATTATTGCTGTGTATCAAAGATTTATGACATGATTTCAGCTTCCCAATTATGAACTTTCCATTTCTATGTAGCAACATTGCAGCGCCCGCATACGGAGTATATATCTCCCAGTTGATACGATATTACAGAGCTTGTATTTCCTATCATGATTTCCTTGATAGAGGGTTGCTGCTAACAAGGAAGCTATTAAACCAAGAGTTCCAAGTGGTGAAGTTGACATCATTCCTTCGTAAGTTTTACGGACGCCATCATGAGTTGGTTGATCGTTATGAAATATCCGTTTCACAGATTTTTTACTCTCCATAATAATACAATTCAACTATTCCATGGAATTTTACTCTCCAAAATAATATAATTCAACTTTTTTCCTATATGTTTTCACAAAGTTAATGATAATAAAATTGAGAATAGAAATAAGGAATGTGTCAAGGAAACAATAACACGACCAAAGAGCAGAAAAGAGCCGATTGACACCAATGGGTCTTCAACACAGCGAGAAAAATACCGCAACCGGAGGCGGGCTTCAGCTGATATGTTCTTTGATAGTATTTGAGTTACCAGTTAAAAGCACTCAAAGTTTAGAAGTAGAACTGTCATAAGAGACCGAGATGAAACAATATTTTACGGTTTTTTTGTACTTTAAGTTACCAATAAACAATTTACAATAGCATGACCGAGCGTCTCTAATGACCTGACGACACTGTTTCAAATCTATTATAGATGGAGAACGAAATTGAGGTCCTTGTTATAACCGTTTTAGGTCCCATGTAATTACATGGCCATAGGGATTATGTCTTAAATTCAACGATTCACGGTATTGAGTTGAAGGATCATTATGTTCTATACTGACTTTTGATGTAACTGAGGTATGAAGTTTTGAATTTCAAATAATCTAGATAAGATCATAAAATCAATAAGTCTGTTAATATATTTCATTTCATGACTTTCATAATATCTTCGCGAGACCAGGCTGTTTTGACAAAATTTACAAATGAAACCGACAATACTATGGCAAATAAAGGCAACAGTAGATACTAGTAAACCGCTGCTCAAAAGTCATTATTCGATTGAGAGAAAACAAATCCGGGTTAAAACTATAACCGAGGGAAACTCATCAACTATAAGAGGAAAACAACGAAACAACAAAAACACTGAAGTGCAACAAAAAACACACGACAATGCAACATACATAGAAACGAATTAGTAGATAACATCTGCCATATTCCTGAATTGTCCTTTGACATTTTAAGAAAAAATAGTGGGTTAAACCTGGTTTTGTGGTTAGCAAAATTTCGCGCTTCATGGCAATATTAAATATACCCCTAAAATGTCAACATTACATGACAGGAATACAGTACAAATAAATGCAAGAACACTCAGGACAGTGAAATACATAGATAAATAATATAACAGTACATTTCGACGTGTTAACCACAGAATAACAACGAATATACGAAAATAATTTGAAAAAGTGGGGAAAACGATAAAAAGACAATCACTAGTCTACAAAAATTTTCATAGAAAACTAAAGATTGAGCAAAACGAATCGCAGCAAAAATCGATCACAGGTGCTCAGAAAGGTATGAAGATCTTACTACACACATTGGACTTGTCGTGTTTTTCGTAGTTGGCGTATTCCAAAGTTCCTTTCATCAATTGATGTAACAGCATGTAAAATTATTAAGCATAACAGCAACCATTATTAACCGTTTGACAACATGGCATAACAGAATTTCGATTTGTAATTTGCATCCTAGTATTCAACTTGTCCGTTAAGAAAGCTATAAATATTAAATTTTGCACGTTTTTATTTATTAGAACTTGCTGTTTTATAAACATTTTAACTAAGTTAACGTTATTTATTGTCATGAATCTCTTTGATGTCTGCATTTAATAATTCTTTGCTGCCATCTTTGTTTACATATAGTTTAGAAAAATCGAATCCACTATGATCAGTAAAACAGTTGTGATGTTTCTTTTGACGCATAACACTGCCTACTGGTGATTTATTTTTATCTATAAGTTCAGATATATTTTCATTCTTCATTGATTGGTTATCATGAAATAGTTTTGTCTTCTCTGGGTCAACCCGATTACCTTTATTATTCGGTGTATTTAATAACATCCATGTAGTGTAAAAAATAAGAGTCATAAACAATCCTATAATAGACCCAATGCTACCAATTAATAACTTGTTCGATTTTGGTTTTGGTTTCAGCTGATGAGTAAAGCAGGAGCATTCGGTATATTCCAGATCAGTACATAGCTATCAAGTATAGTAAATGAATAATATTAAGTTCATGTGACATAACATGAGGATTCATTTATAAAAAAATCGTTATGAATTATCAACAATATGGTCATTTCCTGTGCTAACAAAAGGATTCATTTATAAAAAAATCGTTATGAATTATCAACAATATGGTCATTTCCTGTGCTAACAAATTGAATAATCAAAACACTAAGGTTTTTCTACTCGATGCATAGCTAGCCTAAGCAGTAGTTCGCACAACTTTTCGGAATTTTTGTAATTGATGTATGGATTTTGTTTGTTGTTGTGGGCCATACTGCGACCAATAATTGCTAAGATCTCTGTCATTTGGTCCCTGGTGAATAGTCCCATGGCAATAATACCACATTTCCTTATCCCAAATTGATCGTCGGGATGGTTTCAAACTCAATAAATATATCATGGTAGGATAACTTTTTCAGAGAATATACAGTCAAAACACTTTATAGATATAAAAGTTAAAAAATACGAAGATATGGAACATGTATCAATGTAGACAAAATTAAATGGTAGTGGTCAACTATAGGTGACAGTTCGCAACCCAATTATTTTATTGAATCATAATACGTCCAGAATTGTTCTATTCTATCTTGTATTGTTATCTTTTTGTTAAAGTTAATAGGTGTTGTACACCCAGATATTATTGTTCTTTAGTGGGTACGCATTATTGTCAAATTACCATCCTAGATTGTACCACCTACACTGTAGTCAGTTATTCAGCATTTGGAAGATTAAAGTGTATATAAATTTCTAGTTCATAGAATTGTGTAATTCTGATTAAACTAATTGCGTCGGGTACAGTAAACGTTAATATCAGTTGTTTTATATTTCTGTCTTTTCAAACCATACCTTTTAAAGGTTATTCTAACAATAGTTGTTTTGAAATCATTAGATGTAAATTAACAATGCATGAAACTGGAAAAAAAAGTTTTGTAAATGCATTTAATCTTTAAAATATTTAATAACTGATATTTCTCACAAAGAATACTAAAATTTAAATTTATCGTTTAATTACCTGAGTTCTGTTAATTTCTCTAAATTCACATCTTTCACCATACCAAGATTCTAAACATTTACATATAAATCCGCCATATTGATTTATACACATACCATCATGCAGACAAGGACTTGATGAACAATGATTCATCCCTTTCAAAAACAACATAAGGTACCAACCAAATGAAATTTTAAATGTACAAAACGTTTACGTTTAATATACTCTCATTCCAAATTTGAACACAGATGTTTGGCTTATTAACATACTGTTTAGCTTTGCCCTTGTTGTAGAAAATTTGAGAGGTCATTACCCTCTCGTCGTATTTGAAAAGCTGTATCGTAGACTACGACCGCTACTGTAATTCATATTTGATTAATTCCGTTTTAGTTATTACCAGTTAGGCCGAGAGCAGTGTTATCAATTTTGTTGCTTGCTAAGAGAAAAGAATCTACAGTTCAAGAAGTTGAAATGTTTAAATATTTTTTTTTTCATAACAAACAACTATTTCTTCATTTTAAGGTTAAAATGTTCACTAAAACATTCTGTACTAACAAGTATTGTGTATGCTGCAGCTATCAAACCTTTGTTTAAGTTGGTAACTTTGGTGTCATTTAGGATCAGTTACTTGTCTGGTCTGGTCAGTGTTATATTCAATAGAACTTCATATTTATCTAGATTATACATGATACATTAGCTAGACTCGGTAATCAACTTACATTTTTCACAGTGCAGTCCGGATGATTCATTTGTACAAAGACATTCATAACCATCGACAAGATCCACACATGTTCCATTATTTTCACATGGATTACTTTGACATTCGTCTATCTCTGAAAATTAATATTGCGTGTATAGTATTTAACAAAACCGACAAAATTGCGTGTACACAAATATTACGATCGTAAACTTGGAAAATGAAAATTTCTTTACCTTTGATTTATGAGCGATCAAATTAATTTATTCTTTACAGTTGTTATAGAAAAATGCTCATTTAAAATCTGAATATAGGTGAATACTAAGACATTTCATTTGCCAGTGGAAAATGTTAAAGATATTTTGTATTCTTCTTACTAACCTGTCTGACATCTGATTCCGGTATACCCAGGTAAACAGGCACAATCCCATCCGGGTGTTTTATCAATACATGAAGCATTGTTGTAACATGGATTGCTCTGACATTCATCAATGTCTGAAATTTTAATGTAAGAATTGTTTAATGTTCGTCTTCACAACAGTTACCTTAGCATATTTTTTTTTTAACTTTGTTCTATTTCATAATTTATTTCATGTCCTTTTGTCTCTCATTGTTCATTGAAAAGCTTTTTCATTTAACACTTTAACATTCGGTAAGATTTTAAAGTAAGAGAATTAATAGGACCGATGGTTTATGAGTTGAAAAATGTCTTAGGGTTAGATACGGACCATATATCCTTTCAATATTTGGGTGATTTCTTATCATCAGATACAACTGCGCATCGTCTTTTGATATTAGAAGTCACATGGCGGATGCCCTTGCTAGAGGAGGAATGTCTGACCAGTCCGGCACACCAGAGTTAACTCTAAGTGTTTTGCAAGGTTCATGTTGTTCAATCGTTCTCTATGGTGTTTTTTTTAATTGCTTCTGTCTCTTTGTCGTTTTATAAATGTGTTGTCTGTTTATATGTTTATTTTAAACCCAGTATCTTCACCCTCCTTTTGGGGGGGGGGGGGGGGATTTTCTGCAAAAACTTACTATGTTACGCGAATCATCAGATTAGCTTTTCGTTTTCATCATTTGCGCTTGAATCAAAACAGTTGCAAAGCCATGTTGAATGAACACTCAGTAAAACTAAACATCTCATGATTTTTTGCACATGATATCCTTCGGGTGTTTTGACAAGGAATATCACAGGAATATTTATTTCATTTGTGTTTTACAGGTAATATTTGTATTGCCTTAAAATCATAACTATTACCTATTTGGCAAATATCACCTATGTATCCAGACTGACAATCGCACAGATAATGATTAGCCTTATCTCTACATGTTGCTCCGTGCATACATGGATTACTCCCACACTCATTAATATCTAGAATGAAAATATAAGAAGTTTTTATCAAATTTTTGAAATCGTCAGTATAACATAAATTATATTAATCCGTATCTATATTCCTATACATTTTGAAAACACGATGATAATAAATTAGATTCTTAATAAACTCTTGTTGTCAATATAATGGAATTTTATGCGACTTTCGTACAAGTGAGAGTTTAGCTAGCTATAAAACCAGGTTTAATCCACCATTTTCCACATAAGAAAATGCCTGTACCAAGTCAGGAATATGACAGTTGTTATCCATTCGTTTGATGTGTTTGAGCTTTTGATTTTGCCATTTGATTAGGGACTTTCCGTTTTGAATTTTCCTCGAAGTTCAGTACTTTTGTGATTTTACTTTTTGGGTAGAAGGTTGAATGGATTAATGAATTAGATGCCCACCTTTCTAACCCTAAACATTGATATCTATATATTGGAAAGAAGCTTTCCGAAAGTTAAGAAAGGACATGTCGTGAGTATGGGGCCTTTAATTTAGTGATTGTTGTTTGCTGGTGTATATCATTTTTTTGGGGCATATATCAGATCGTTAGTATATTCGTTTGTATTGTTTTACATTTGTCATTTCGGTTTTTTTTATAGATTATTATGTGGTATTGGGTGTGCTCATTGTTGAAGGCCATATGTTGACCTATAGTTGTTAATGTCTATGTCATTTGATGATGTTCAAAGAGCACTCGCATCATGAAAGTATAAACTGTACAAAAGTGCTATCTGAATTTTCTTTTCCTGTTGATGGAAAATAAGAGGAAACAGTGAATAAGGTATCACAGATAGTTTTTATTTATGATATTTTCAACAATTTAACTCCAAAATCGAATCAAACTAAACCTGATGTAAACTAGACCTGGTCTATGGTGGATAGTTGTCTCATTGGCAATCATACCATATCTCCTTATTTGACATTGGATATACTTAGATATTTTTGGTTTATCAGATATTCCACGTTTGTTTTGCATTTTTGATTATCATACATTTTGACTTGGTCCTCGAGCATCTCTGAAGATACATTAATTGTCGAAATGCGCAATTTAATTTGTACAATTAGTGTTATTTTGTTCTTGGATCTCAGTTGGATAGTTAACATTTGCTACAAAGTGCGTCTTGATGCGTAAATATGATATACATATATCTGTAATTTCTACTAAGAACCAAAGACTAATTACTTCCGCAAACGAATGTCAAATTCTTTTCTGTGAGACACTCTATAGACCATTGAATGCATGTCTAACATGAAATGATAAAAATAATCAAGGATATTTTCAATGTAATATCTACTACCCTATCTGACAACTGTTTCCAGTATATCCATTCCTGCAATGACATCTATACGCATTCAACAAATCCAAACATTTTCCACTATGTTGACAAGGTGAACTTGCACATTCATTAATGTCTGAAAACAAAAGCAGTGTGAATTGAAGATTACAGTGTCTGCAGGATAAATGAAAATAAAACATATATATTTCCTGTGCCCGACTTTAAAAAAAATAATGGTCGAAGAAAAATACGAAAACAGAATTAACAGGCCACAAAAAGCTATACAAAAAGTAAGAATTGGCAATTATAAGAGTAGTGTTCCTTGATAAGCCAATGTATGTCGCACAATAGCCTAGAGCAGTGATAAACCTAGTTGGTTTGTCCCGTTAGTACATTACGTCTCTATTGTTAGAACTAAAAATGAATGCAGAAGTGGAAGCATCCTGTAGACAAATGACACAGCATAACCTTCAGCCGTTTTCCAAAAAATTACAAGGTACAGAAACCGTACATATTAACCAAACAAGCGACGATTGATCAAAATGTAAGCAATGAAAATATTTAGTAAGATACGCTAAAGTAACACGCAATACGAAATATCCAATATTGGAACGAACTCTGATTATAGTACCCAAAATGAACAAGAGGACCCAAGTGATCTTGAAAAGTAAATTACCAAGATGTTCATGGCTTAAAAAAAAATCTTCATTGGGCACAGGTCATTGGTGAGTCTATTGGAGACGAAACGCACGTCTGGCGTACATAATTTTAATCCGGTATCTATGATGAGTTAATTGCGAACAAATGTTGAAATTGTTTAGTAAATTGGTGGCTTTGTTGGTACAGTGGTAAACTAACGTTCCAAGCAGGTAACTCAACACTTACAAAACCCTCATATCCCATTTGCCTTTCTGTTCAAAAAGTCACAGTATGCATAAAGGTGAAGAACATCTCCCTTTCCACGGATGACGGACATAAAAGAAATGTTTAAATGTCAATAGTCTCTTTATTTCCAACGTACTCCTAACCAAGTTAAAAGCCAGAATTATATTTTTTTTTCGGAAATGATGGAGCATTCTCAAATGTATCTCCAATGCCTTTACAGTAGTGAACACGAACTACTTCTAAAGAAATGATAAAATGCACTATCAGGGAGTCAAAATTCTACTTATATATGAGTTTTGGTCAATTGTTACCGTAGAATGGTAATGGTTTCGGTTTATCTATTGCTTATTCTCTATTGCGTTCAGTTGTTTCTTTATTATTTTTTTTTTTCATCTTTTAAAATAATTCAGTCAAATATTTGGTGCATTGATGCTAATATATTTTAAGTTTCCAATATTTACCTGTTTCACAATGTATACCAGTAAATCCAGGCAGACAGTTACAGCGCCACCTCGATAACCCGTCTAAATCTTCACAAGTTCCTTCATTTTGACATATCTGGTTATCACATTCATTGATCACTTTGAAAGAAAAAGGCTTAATAGATTTATGTGTGTGATACTGAAAAATATTTAAATCCACTATAAAATTTAGTTTTGTCAATATATCAATTGACATGTTTTCCTTTCATATTCCGGAAATTATGAAATCATGTGGAGCAAGATCTGCCTACCCTTTCCAGATAACCTGAAATCACCCCATTTTTTGAAGGGGTTCGTGTTGCTAAGTCTTTAGTTTTCTATGCTGTGTTTTGTGTTCTTTTGATTGTCTGTTGGTATTTTTCTTTGTTTGCCATGGCGGTGTCAGTTTATTTTCGACTTTTGAGTTTGAATGTCCTTTTGGTATCTTTCGCCTCTTTTTTTCTAAATTAAGGAATATGATTCCTTTATGCTTAGCTTTGATTCCAAGTCCGATTTTTGTAATGTCGGTGATTTTTATAGATTTCTATTCAATATGGATTATGTTAATAATTATTCAATGCCGTACAGTGACTATACTGTTACCATATACATTATTTGGTCTATGGTAGATAGCTGTCTCATTGGCAATCATACCACATCTCTTTATTTGATATTGGATATACTTAGACATTTTTGGTTTATCAGATATTCAACGTTTGTTTTGCATTTTTGATTTTCATACATTTTGGCTTTGTCCTCGAGCATCTCTGAAGATACAATAATTGTCGAAATGTCGTCAGACGTTGATATGGTGTTTTACATAAAACATATTTCGAGTAGTTTAGAACAGAAGAATCTTGTATACTATAAAGAATCACTTCAAGCAATATCAAAGATAGTAGCCTTAGGTTGAAGAAAGAAAACTCAATCTTTATTATAAAACAAAACCTTTATATAGAAGCAGTGATAAGTATTTGTTTGTATTTATGCTACATTTCTTATTGGAGGTTTCAATGGATCACATATGAAAACAATATGTCCGGTTATAATGAAGAATTGATTTAAAGACACACAAGGAAGAAATTATATTAAAAATTTAAGTTTTCAGAATAACTTCGTCGGATACTAGTATATGCATAATAGTATGCATAATAGTTTTCAAAACTTACATGTAGCCTGTTCTACTGTAATCATATCAACACGAAATATAAATTTTCCTGCAATTCCAATATTTGTTTTCTGTGGAACATTTATAATATCAGAGGTTCTAGATCCTTGTACAGCATAATAATGTTCGCCGTCACCAGCATCAAAACCTACCTATGAAAGCATCACAAGACAGTTCAAACGAAATTTAACTTAATTCCGGTGCATATTATTCACTCATCTGTTAAAAAGGACCCCAAAAAGATATTACTTTTTAAAAGAATTGACATTTTTTTTCTGTAAATACATTCATTCTTAGAGCTATCATCTCATTTGTTGTTTTTTTTTAATTCTATCATTTTATTTTCTATCTGTTTTTTCCTTTTTTTTTTTTTTTTGTATTAAGACCCCCTTATCTACCATAACCGGAAAACATATTGTGTTTTAAATGACCAGACACGATGTGTTTTCCAAACCTATAGAAACACTATGTTACATTGTTAATTTTAAGGGGAAGTGGTTAATAGTACATCTAGTTACGATCAATGCACACTTACTGTCATACGAGTGAGATGTTTAGCTAGCTATAAAACCAGGTTCAATCCACAATTTTCTACATAAGAAATTGCCTGTTCCAAGTCAGGAATATGACAGTTGTTATCCATTCGTTTGATGTGTTTGAGCTTTTGATTTTTCCATTTGATGAGGGAATTTTCCTTAGAGTTCAGTATTTTTGTGATTTTACTTTTTACTGATCGTGTGCTAAAATTTCTTTGACAAGCAATGTCTCTTCAGTGATGCTCGAGGTCAAAATATAAATATTTAAAAAGCAAAGAACCAAAAAGAGACAAAGAATAAAGTGAAACCCGAACATTTAAAGTGCAGTATAATGAATATTGTTGTTATTATTGTTATTATTTGTACTAACATTATGCATGTCCTATGGTTTTGTGGGTTATTGTCTTATTGACATTCATACAACATATGCTTGCTTCTATATTCATAGATATAAGAATATGTGGTATGCGTGCAAATGAGACAACTCACCATCCAAGTCACAATTTGTAACAGTAAACCATTATAGGTCAGATTTGTTTAGCAATCGTAACAGTTTGTTGTTCTAATTTACTATTTATGCTTTTATTTTTTTTTATTTCGTTCGTTTTTGTGTGAAATTGAATACCTGTAGACTCTTCTAAATTTCTAGCCGATTTTTATTGTTATCTGTTACAGCTTCTGTTGTTTACCTGAGCAGGTATGCCTCCTAGCCCTGTTGAGCTGTCCCCTCCACTAGCATCTCCGGTTGTCCATTGCATCTTGTAATAATTAAACATAACGAATGAGTGAATTCCATTAGTCACCAAAACACACTGGAATGTACATCGCTGAAAAAATAGAAAAAAGTAAAATCACAAAAATACTGAATTCCAAGGAAAATTCAAAACGGAAAGTCCCTAATCAAATGGCAAAATCAAAAGCTCAAATAAAGGCAACAGTAGTATACCGCTGTTCGAAAGTCACAGCAGTCAACATTGTGTTATAATCTCAATCACTATAAAAACAAACATATATGTAACAAAGAAGCACAAAAAGGCCTATGTTAAATCCACCCATAAAGGATTGAAAGATTTTAAGTACTGGGACCGAATCCTTTCCCTGACAGGCACATGGTTAGGTTAATATTAACTCTAACGTAGAATCGCGCGTTAGACGTACATCAGTTGTTAAGTATGTAAACGTCACACAGGTACATATAAAATAATGTTCCGTTTCATAGTTATCGACAGTAGAAGTCAATATAACAATAGGCTTACAAATTTATATATTACAACATTTGAATTTTTTTTTGGAGATCACTGTCACAAAAAGAACAAATATGCATATGATAGCTATGTAAATAGTGAGTAAATTTACAAAACATTAAATTTATTTAATGAACCCCGTTTAACAAACACCTATGATACAAGTAGTCAGCCAAAATAAACTATCAACAGACCAATTAAAAAATTGCTTGAGTTGAAAATATGTGCAAGCCCATCGCTCAAAATTTCATAGTATATACCTTTTCATAGACTAACCGATACAAATAAGATAATTTTATTAAATATTTAAATTCCAAGCTTACTTTCGTATAATATGTTCATACGACCCATATGGCGTGAAATTAGTCCTCATGAGCGATGTATACCAGTGGGAAATCTAGTGTTAAAATATTCCCTCAACTGGAAACACTGAAAACATGATTATTTCAAGGTTTGTTTCGTTTTTAACAAGGATGCTATCAATTATAATTATTCAAAAGAAAACGTTCTGGTAAATAGTAACAATAAAAATTAATTGAAATAAGAATTTCCATCTTATGTTATCATTTCTGTCCTAACACAGCAAAAAAGGAAAATATCAAAAATACCAAAGTCAAAACGGAAATTCCCTTATCAAATGGCAGAATCAAAAGCTCAAACACGTCAAACGAATGAATAACAACTGTCATATTCCTGACTTGGTACAGGCATTTCCTTATATAGAAAATAGTGGATTGAACCTGGTTTTATAGCTGATTAAACCTCTCACTGGTAAGACAGTCGCATGAAATTCTATTACATTGACAGCGATGTGTGAACAAAACAAACAGACATAATAGGTAAAAATGTCAAAAATAGGGGTACAGCAGTCAACATTGTGTTATAATCTTAGTCACTATAAAAAAAAAACAATTATGTCAACAAGGAAAAACAAAAAGGTATACAGACAAAGCACATTAGCAAAAATGAAAGACAAGAATGCAAAAATTTACCATAGCACAATAACACAATGACGGGATGTATGAGTACCGAGTCACGTCAAATGAATGTTACCAAAAATAGACTGAACAGTGAAATTATTAATTTACAAAGACAAATAAAAGAATATTATAACACGTTATTAAGATTATAAACAACGTCAGTACCTAGAATCTATACTTCGAGACCATTGTGTATTATTTGTAAAGTTGATACGAAATATTCATCAACAAGGTCTTGGTATCTTCCGATAAACTTTTTTAGAAAAAGGACGAGACGTTCTTTGACATACCCCTGGTTCGTCAACTTTCTGCTCAGACACTAGTGATGTTTTACAAAGTCTGAGTAGCAGCTGCAAGCTCTTCAATATCGAATGAGTTGGGAAATGTATATCTCATATGTCAGTAAAGTTGGTATATTGTTACTAAGTTGGGGGAAATAGATAATTTCCAAATTAATCACGTCTCGTTTGTCATAGATTCTGGTACTGAGATGACCGCTTATGTCAAATTCGAGGTATACATCTAAAAATAAGGCAGAGGAAGCCGTGTCTGTTGTTTCTTTAATTTCTAGTTCTGGAGGATATGTATTAATGGAACCCAATCAGAAAAGTTTGGATTGTTAATGGAAAGAACATCATCAATATATCTGAATGTGAAATTAAATGATTCGAATCATTGTTGATATACTAACATACAACAATTGTTTTTGAGAATTCCATGTGAAAAATGCTAATTTTTCAATAAAGCTATCATGTACCACAAATTTGTTTATGTGAAATTCATATAATAATTATTTATTCTTACTCTGTGTCTTCCATGTCGGTCAGCACCATAGAAAGCAACGTTGCTCCAAGTTGTAATAAATATCCATGTGGCGTTGAACTCCGTCTGTTCCGGAAATACAGATTGTATTTCTGTTGATGACCGTTGAAGTAAACCCGAGTCGTGTGTTTCCCTGAACCAAATATCACCTCCATTCCTGGTATCAACATCGCCCCAGTACGGGGCTATGATTTGTGTATTTTGTTGATATGGAAATGCTGCTGGGGAATATGTAATTAAAGGTGACAGAAAGGTTATATCACCATTAGTGTTCACCTACAATTGTTAAAATCTAATAAAGAATATACGAAGACATTTTGACGTTTACAATTAGATTAAATATATAAATACACATCCAATAAATGGTTGTTAATTTGTCTATCTATTATTTTATATAAGCTGAATAAATCGTCTTCTAGTGTAATCTGTCATACACAGATTCTAATACGGCCTATTGTTAAGCATATAAGCATAATTAAGTACGTGTTATGCTCTCAAATTTCTGTTTCAGAGATGCCAATGATCTTAAATGCCACTACATCTATTTAATTGCATATGAAATATTTCCTATCAGATGTGACTTACAGTTGCATAACTGGATACTTAAAACACATCAGAGATACCAGGCTTATAATTTGGTACGCCAGACATTCAAATCAAAACAGTTGCATAGCCAAATTAATTATTACGAAGTAAAAGAGCATTAATAACCGAACATTTTATAAAAACTCGTGCTAATACAGCTGATATTTCTCGGGAGTAGAAACCCCTTACCGTTTTAAATTTCAACATTTCATCAAATTTAAATTTATAGAAAATGAACATATCAATGATGTTCATGTCAGCACAAAAGTGCTGACTATGTGGCTAGTAGTACCTTTGGAAACGAAAGGTTCATCGGTAGAAGCATCGACCCAGTGGTTGTAAAAACTCGCAAGAGATATCTGGCTTGTAATTCTAAAGAATTAATAAGCGAAAATTTCGAAATTAGCTAGCAGGATACGTACAAATCTTGTCGGTGAGTATAAAACTAAAACAAGAATTGCAATTGCAAGCAAAGGCAGATACTCCTTGAATTGAAACTAAACGGCAGCCATTTCCACGATTTTAACAGCGAATGCACATACATGTATGACAACATGTATATCTGTAAATTTTCAGAAATTTTGAATTTTTTGCATTAGTAGCGACAGCCATTTTGAAATTTCAAAGATAAATTACCCATCTAAACATGCCAGTGAACATTTTTGTAACGTTTCTTTAAGTTTAGAGCATTTTGAAATTTTTCGCATTGTTTTCATGGTAACATCATTCATTTGTACAAATATCAAACTCAAACGCCATCTCTCCGCTTGACCAATGACATTTCTATTCAGTTTCATTAAGTTTGGACACTTTTCTATTGTTCGTATTTGTTCTGTTTCATGGAAAGGTCTTACTGCACATCTAACAATGTGCATATGGTGCTTCTCATTCTGATGATGTTACATCAACATTGGTTCAGTAGCGTCCCCGAAATGCATCGGACAAAAGTGTAACGCTATAGTTATAATAATAACATAAAAAAACGAAGGGAACAAGAATATGTCACCCAACAATCGTTCGGAGATATTAAAAAACTTACGAAAAGCGATCTGTGACTATTGCCGAAGAAATTAAATGCTGTATTAATGTAAATCTCACTAGAACTTCCATCATCCACTGTAGGTAGCCGCGCGTCGCCATTTGTAGGACCATATGGATAAAACATGTGTAATGGAATACCGACTGCAAAGTCTAATACAATCAGGGATACAAATGCTGAAACTTTCATTGTCGTCTGTATGAAATAACAGTCGACAGAACAAAGGCATCTTTATATACATTTTCAATGAGGATGTATGTAACTGTTGCCAATTACCAAAAACCTTCCTGATATATCTGAGGCGATTGTAATCATGATACGTACCTTCCTGGTCTGTAGTATACATACATAGTACTTGACTGCATTACCAGTATAATTTGAGTTTTTGGTCCTTTGCTTAATCTGCATAAAACCAGTGGATACAGTACTTTTGAATTTGTAAACTTGACACTTGTGTTTTCCGGATTGTAAGAACTAAAAACTTTGGTAATGTTTGCACGTTCTCCAAATGTGACAGATTGATATGAACAAACATTTGTTTTGAGAATAGGTCTTCAACTATATATCAATTAATCATGTTTGTTGTTAGCTGATAACCCATTTTTAGCAAACATAACTTTTTGAAATATTTACTTTTGATTTAAAAAGGTGTCGATAACATCCTCATTACTAAAAATATATCAAGTTCATAAGCTGTATTCACTTTAATCACACATTTTAATTTTAAAAGGTGAAGTGTCTTCTAATATTTGCAACGTTTTCTAATGTTCCTTTTATCTATAGTTCTTTATACATTTATGTTTCTTAGTCGATGTTACTTAATTCATATAAATGATTATCAAGAGTTCATCTTGGTTGAAATTGCGTTAAAATTAGCTATAATTATTTAATAGATTTTATGGTACAATGAAATATTGTAACTTTTATTTGTGAGTTTTTTTATATTACGATTGTAAATTTTAGAAATATGTAGAAAATATTTTTGTATTTAGGAATACATCCCACATGAAACTTTTAGGAATTGTGTAATTGAAATGGGGGCGCTACTTCAGGCACATGTTTTAATATGCAGGCTCTTTTTGAATAGC